CGATTCTACCGCAAAACCAGTGAAAACGGGGATTGGCCTAATTGAAAATTTTCAAATCTTAAGAGATAACAAACTTATAAATATTTTCGAACTTTGGGTGGTAGTAATTTGACATCAAAACGACCTTTTGAAATGATGACGTCGATATACAAAGTCACGCGTACAGACAAATGGCGTGGCAGAAGCACAAAATGCGTTCCGCAGTCTCGTCCTCCTCAAGGCAGGAAGGTCAAATGGTGTTGACATGTATGCCTAACACAGACAGATGTTTATGGCATGAGTTCCCTAAAGTTGTCTGCTCAGTGAGAGCAAATACCTAACAAGACCCTCTGACATTGAGGGCAACACGAGTTTCGCCCACCTGTAGTCCCTCGAAGCCTCCGAGTCATTGCTGAGCGAAATATTCACCCAGTATCTGACTGCGGCTTCGATGTTCAAAGGTGCGATTGATTTAAGTGGTTGCGGACCGAGAATTCGTGTTCGCCACATCGTCTTTTCATGGAAGCTCAGATTTCAATTCTCTTATTTTCAATAACTCTGCTGTATAAATCCGGCTGAATTTCAGCAATGGCCGTTGACACTGAGGGCATCATCAACGTCATACGGATAGATGAAGCCGGTCTGTCGCTACCTTAATGTACGGTTATCGGCTGATTACTTATGAAACCGGCCGTCTGGAATTAGGACACAAATAATTGAAGCATCGATTTTAAAAGCACACCGCGTCTGCCGTAAAATTAACGGAAATAACAAACATTGACTGAACCTTAAACAACTGGTTAGACAGAGGCCAAAGAACATCGAGCAGCTCCAATTCATCCACATCGCCCCAAATCATCGAAAATAATATTTTGCCGCTTTACTAGTGCTGAAAAGCCAATGCTTATATATGTATGTACATTAGGGTGGCCTAAAAATGCATGTGAGAAAATTAAAGTCGGAATTTCAACTCTCCCCCAAAGGACTGTTCATATCGAAAACACATACCCGTTTTTTTTAATCAAAATATAATTATAGGTGGCTAAAAATTTCGTATGTATGTACATATGTATTTTACCCGTATATACGGGCAAAACTGTTTGTCGTAGAAATGGTATAGCATACTTGAAAATCAATATTTGTCAATTGGCAACTCTGTTTCTCTTCAGGAGACTTCAAAGAATAATACCCAATTTTTTATAAAAAAAAAAATTATATTCATTAAAAAATGGCTAAACAAGTAATTGGGTGTTATTCCTTTAAGTCTCTGAAGAGGAACGGAGTTTGCCGATTGGAATATATAGATTTTTTAAGGATTTTTTTAGCGACCTCTAAAATTTTTTTATTTCAAAAAAAACAAGGATAGATTTTTTCGATGTAGAATAATCTTATGGGGTGAGAGCATTAAAATTCTGACTTTACTTTCTTTGGACCACCCTAATATACATACATCTTTCTCAAACAAGGCATTTTAGCACCAATTACCTTTAACAACACTGAAAAAAATTTTTGCTGGGGAAATGCCCACATTCGCCACTTGATGTTTGTTTTTCAAAACAAGCTCTAACCGAATAAATCTTACACAAACCAATGGCCCGTTGAATATTTAATAGTCGAGCCGATCGCTCAAATGGTACAGTAAGCGTATTGAATCAAAACATATGCATTTATTTTAATGAGTCATTTACCTCGGATTACTTTATTTACTCATTCATAATTACAAATAATTCACACATATAATTGTACATAAATGGGCATTTATATACAGAGGCATATAGCCGTCGCGTGTGTCCCAAGATTCGCTTAGTAACATCATCGCTTATCAACGATTCTTTCAATTGGTTATCTATTCAGGAAAAAAAAACATAGCAGAGTTTAATAAAACTGATGACACTTGAAGGGATTTAGCTTACGTTTTTTTTTTTGTTTAATCAAATCGACATTATTTTTATTTGAGTCCGAATATTTAATGTTTACATACTATGTACTTTAGATTGGGTCGGACGCTATACGAAAAAAAGCTTTTAATAACTCAACTTACTTTGAAATGTCAGTAAGCAAAAATTTTTGTGGAAAAAATGTCTGAGGGCCATCTGCTCAATGAAATATAAATGCCTAGCTAAAACTTTCGAAATTTGAGGCAACTTGTGTTTTGAGCTTCGAAGCATCCCAATTAAATTGTTGCTGAGCGAAATATTCACCCAGTTTCTGATGGTAGCTCAATGGCCGAAGCTGGATCGGTCAGATGTTTTATCTGGCAAACTCGAGTGACATGACCCCGTTATCTTCGATATAGACTCCAGATCTAGATCTATTAATTCGCTACTCAATCAATCTCTCCTAACATTTCAGCATGAAGTACATCGACCTAAAGCTCTTAGGGCTAGTATATGCAGTCATCTTACCAACTTTGGGGATAAAAACCACATCAACTAGTCTCTTTGATTGGGGGTAAGTATGTTAATACTGTCGGGTGTGGAGAGCGTGTAACCATCAACTGATTTAAAGAGAAATTAGTCTTTAACAGAACTGAAATATGATTACTCCTTGTCCGCAATGAAACCATAAAGGCCTCCTGTGTAAACCCAGCTTAATGATTTGGTCTTTCAAACGGACTTTCAGAAGCGTAGCTGTTTGACTCAAGGTATGAATATCACCTCAGTATTCTTTACACGGAGCCCTCTTCGATGAACGAATGATGAACCCGATGGTTTCAGCAGAGGAAGAGCGAGTCCCCCACTGCGATGGAAATAGGGTGACCAGATGAGTCGAAACAAAAATCAGGACACCTCATTTCTGAAAGTTAGCACAATACTTTCTTCCCCATCAGACTTGAGTTTTGAAATTATTGTTTTTACGTTCAATCGTAAGAGTTGATAGTTCTCAGTTGAGAATTGTGCACACCAAACTCTTGTGGCCAGAGTTGAACCTGAAAAGATCACAAGAGCTTCTATATTTGAAAAGGAGAGAAATGCCGTTAGACATGATAATACTTAACGGCCACATAATTTTAGGCGGCACGCATAGAGGCTAGGAGTGCCCCACAACGACTTTAATAGAAGCAGTTTTGATGAGGAAGAGTCTGAAACTATCAGGCAGCTACTCATATTCGCTGACTCCACAAACTGGTTTAAAAATAGCGGTTTTTGAGATCTCTGTGATATCACAAAGGGCTCATTTGCAGGTCTAGGTGTGCTGGCAAGTTGACTAGCAGCCGCGTAAACTGAACCTAACTTTCATCTATCCAAAAACAGTTGGCAGAAAAGGAGAACGAACTTATGTATAGTAAAAACAAGTCGTAAATTTTCTTAAAAACGGAAACTCCAATTTTTTGTTTAATTAATTTTTGGTTTAATAGCATCTTCAAGATGAGTTTCATTTGTAAAAAAAAGCATTTCATATTTTCGAAAATTAGTTTAATATATTTTTTAGAACTCAAACTTTGAAATCCGCGACATTTCCAGTACATTTTGGTTTTTTTTTTTAATTATCGTCTTTGCTCCTCTTGTAAAATAATGTACAGTTGAACTCTCATCTTTTGATTAGACATTCCACCTTCGCGAAAATTGTTGAAATATCGCGTACATCAGTTTTAGAAAAGCTTCACTCGAACCCACATAATGTCACTTTCTTTTGCAAAATATCCAGTTAGACAGCAAACAAAAGAAAAAAATCAATTTTAATGTCGTTTCATATACATACATATGTTTTTGTTGCACTGTCTAGAGAGCATGTCAAGCCGTTTAAGAATATGAACTTTGTGTTTGTTCTTTTCATTACTTAAGGTCAGGGAAAACTTTTTTTTTTAGTAAAAATAGGTGAAAGCTCATGAAAGATCTTTGTAAGCTACATGACAATTCGCCACTTTCTCAAGACATTACATTTGTAGTAAAGTTTTCGGAAAGCAATTAGAAATTTTTTTACAGTTGTTTTGATTCGCTTACAAAGCGACACCACGACCACCAGTGACTTCTTACAATACTATGCAAATAAATACAGTGATTCAAACGAGTGTTCACATGTTGATTAATTTTTTTTTTTTTAATTCGCAATGTTTTTCGAGCTAGTATTTTTTATACTTTAAACAAAACCATATAAATCAAAATTTCAAACTTTATAGCATTCTCATAAAAATTTCAAACTTTTTAATCTGAATTTTTAGAAAAATTTTGGGTATGGAGTTTTATAGTGTAATTAAGCGAAACTTACAAGGGGCTAGAAAATCGCGTTCATTTTTAATAAATATATTTTTTTGCTGACGACTTTTGCATTTCTTTGCATACAACATTTGAAATTTGTAATGATTTTTTGAATTCTTTGTGCGAATGGTGTTGCGCATTTTTTCCCATCAGAAATTCAACTTTATATGGAAAAGAGTGCAAAAAGCAGTCAGCAAAAAAAATTAAAATCAGCGCAATTTTTTAGCTGCCTGAAACTTGCACTTAATTATACTAAAATTTGACTATAAAACTGCATACCAACCAAAAAAGTTCTAAATTTTGATGATTTTTTTTTATCTTTCTAAGTTTTGTATACAGTTTGATACTTTGGATTATTTGTATGGGTTTTGGTTAACATGAACAGTATTTTTTATAAAAAATATACAAAAATTCCGATTAAAATGTTCGATTAAGATTTGAAAGTTTGTTTTACATAATATATTTATGTACATTTTATAAAAAAATATCAAAAAATGTAACTTGAAAAACATTGTGAATAGGAAAAAAAAAGTTATATTAACACGTGAAAACTTGTTTGAGTCACTGTAAGTCCCTATTCAAATCGCTTGCACCAACTACTTACTACGTATTAGCAATGTCGTAACACCAAAGACTTGGCTTACTCGTAGCTGCCACGACTTCTTATCAAATTTAACGAGAATTCAAAGCACGCAATTCTGCACGAAGCAGCCAAGTGGATGGTGATGTAGTTAGTACAGCGGCAGATTTGGATATCAGAAAAGTGGTGGATATATAAACAACAATTCTTTATACAACGGTTTCAAAGACAGAACAGCGACAGAATATGCGACATCGAAGCGTAAGATAAAAGTGCATTTTAGCGAATCTATTACAAAAAAAAATAAATAAATAAAAAGTGGTGAAATAATTGCAGCAAATTTGAATATTTCATTTATACGCTTGTGCACATTTTTACATAAAAATGTCCGGAAAATTTATATGCTGTGCATTAGTGCTAATTTCACTAGCTGTGCTCTCGGTGAGTTTTGAATATCAATGAAGCCAAAAACACAAACACTAACGAAAATTTCCCAAACATCCACAGGTGAATGCCGGCTGTGTTTGCAATGAGAAGGGTGTCGATTATTGTGCCAAGCACAAGGAACCGGTATTTGTGCGTCCCAAACCACGTTATGTCTATCCGAACCCAGACCTGGATCTCAAACCCATCGGTGACACCTGCTCATGCAATAAAGTGTTCGTTGAACCGGCGACAATGCCCAAGCCATGTAATAATAAAGTACGTGATACGTTCCAATGGTTTTGGATATGGAATAATTTACTAAAGCGCAAAGCAATCGAAGCTGTGATTAACGCCAAGCATGAACACATCAATCGTCTGCATAAACGCCTTACTAATCTAGAGAATGTTGAAACCGAATATTTACCTATGAGCACAT